TATGATACACCAAAGCATTACCCCCATCCTCAAGCTTCTTACTTTTCAAATCATTTTTTCTTTCTGAACAATTTTTTGCAAAGTGTCCCAACTTCCCACAGTAGTAACTTCTCTTACTTTTAGCATTAGTCTTAGAATTATGCTTATCATTAAATTTGTTTTTATTTTCAATAAAAGGTTTAGGATGATAATTAGATTTTCCAAAACTTGTTTCTTTTACCCATGAACCATCTCCAATGTGACTATTTCTAAATTCAGATTTTATCTCTAGAGCCTTATTCCTTAAATCATCTATTATAATGTCTGTGGTGAGGTCTTTCCTACCATACTCTAGAGTAACCTTTGTTAACCCAAGATATAAATGCAAAGTATAATACTATAATTAAATATGCAAGTTTGATAACTTAATTCAAGTATGAATATAGTACAATATAAATGACAATGTAAAATAAAGTGCAATAATGTAAATATAACTAACCAATTTAATGGGGTTCGATACACAATGTGTTCTACTTTCCGTTACCAAACTCTCCATCACGAGCAAGGCCAAATGCACTATAATGGTAACTTACCAACAAAGAGTACTGATCCTTAAGTGACTTAAATAATGAGCACTTATCCTTAGGTGACTTGTTGAGCACCTACCCTTAAGTGACTTACAACAAGGAGCACTTATCCTTATGTGACTTATGACAAGGAGCATCTATCCTTACAATTGAGTTTTCACAAGGTTCTCGAAACCGTCAAAATGTAAGTGATAATTTTACGATTGAAGGAACTCTCTTAACCAATGATATAATCAAGTTAAGTATTAGAGAGTTAGGTAAACACTTCAATAGATAGCAAATAACAAAGTTCAAGTGTTTGTGTTGTAAACTTTGATAAATAATGAATAATGAAATAGTTTATATTTTTGTATAAAGTTTTCAACATATGATCTCTCTTAACAAATAATACAAGCTAAGTATGGAGAGAGATTTACACTTCAATATAAGTGTTGGTAAAGAAAACCTTTATCAAGAATTGAAAGAGATGAGATTGAGCAGTTTCTTTGTAAAATAGAATTCATGATGAAATAGATGAAACTAGTTTTGATCAATCAAGAAATTCTTTGTATCAAAGTTTTCAACATATGATCTCTCTTAACAAATAATACAAGT